TTCTAAGTCAGAAAAAAATTTACCACCTTTATCAAACCACATAAATTCTTGTAAACAAAAAAAATTGACATCGAATTTGACAATGATAAAATCACATTTATGATGGTATTTTAATTGTAGATTTCTCTGGACCGTATTATAATTTTTTTGTAATTTTTGAGGTAGATTTTTGCAAACAACTTTTAGATACCTATTCCAAATAAAACGAAATTCTGGACGACAGTTCAACTTTAACGCCTCTTCTGAAAAGTCTAATGCAATTTTTGCATAAAATTACCTGGGAAGATAATATTTGACCTTTTCAAAATTTACATGGGATTTCCTATGTCCCGCGTTCCGATGCACCACACGGTATATCTAAGTAATACTAACAAGATAGTAAAGACTTTAAGCATCTATATACTAAGAAATTATCTACGACGGCAACAACATACATCAAAATACTATAAACAAAGGAAGATAAAAGATCTCTAAAGAGATAATCTCTATAGGCTCTTAAGGCTGCTTGACTATCGGACAAGATGGACTTCCGCAACTGACAGCTGACGTTACGCACACTTATAGCTAATTTGTAATAAGTGATGTTCACTGCATTTCAATGAGATATAATAATAATAATAGCTCCCGTATATAGCGTTTAACACCTTGGGAGTAGCAAGGTACAGCTTGCCATGCTAGAGCCATTCGGTATACAAGGAAAGTAATGTGGCTAGCACTACGCTTCAACCGCTTACTATTACCTCAGGATTGTGAATCCCAAGTACTCATTTAAGGCTGAGTCGACCTAGGTACCCAAACTATTTTTATTTTAATAAAAACAGTCGGCTGATGAAATGCCGGGTGTATAGAATTCGAACCCACTACCTTGAGATTGGTAAACGAGAGCCTGTACCTCTACGCCACCGAGTACCCATTTCAGTGACATAGTTGACATTATAAAATAGAACTTCAAGGGAAAATAGAAAGAAAATAGCATATTCGAATCTAGAAAGATAATGAAATACACAGAAAATTCTTGTATCGAACAAAAACCTAGAGAAAAATGACACAAACTCGATTGGTTTCTTCGTTCCAGATCATCGGGTCAATCAGTCATCCTTACCACACTTCACGTCACTGTTAAGCAGTAAGAAGTTAGCCCGAGTTTGCTTTGTATTTGATAAATAAATAAAAACCTTTCAAATTCATCATTTCATTAATCAGTGTGTTTTTTTCAGGATTTTATTTCACTTTTCGCTCTCACAAGCTTCTCTCGCCCTCTCCAGAGTCTAATTCCCCCCCGATCGATCATTTTTTTCTCCCCCCACCCCCATTTCTTAACTCCACACTGACGTTCCGAAATTTTATCACCTCCAATTGGGGAATATTAACAGTTCCAGGAGCGACGGAGTCACACATGTGGCCCAAAAAAAGGAAAATGCCGTTGTATAAAAATAGGGGGGAAACCAGTGCAGAACACGGCCTGTATTTCCCCCGTAAATCACACAGAAAGAGGGGCGGATTTAGGATTTTTTTGGAGGTACGTCACTGAAAAAAATAATTTGAGAATTTAATAACAATATTGATGGTTATTTCTCGCCACAGATTAATTGCAGTAAATTTACCATCAGTTCTTTAATTTTACAACTTGCTTGTAAAATCGCTGTATGACTAATTTGTGGCATGTATGGAAATCTATACAGGGTGGCCCATCGAAAACGTTCCGCAAGGCATAACGGCCAGGGTAATTTTTTTTTCAGAAAATCCGAAAACACATCAATTTTGTTTTTTTACATATTTTAAATTTTTGTGTTCTAAAAAGTTGAGTAATTGATTAACCACGATTCTGCTTCAACTGCTTGACGTAAAAAGCTTATTTTTGGCAAGTTAATGGAAATTCTTCCTTTGCTTAAATCATCACCATTACAAATGATGAATTCGACGCGAACGATATCGCGGGTACACGCTAGTATTAATAAATTGTCTAAAATTACATTTTTTGGGGAAACTATATAAAAATATCTTCTTTTTACAAGTTTTTTTAATAAAAATACTATAATATATCAATATTTTTTTGTAAAATTACTTTTTTTTTTCAGTGTTATGTGCAAATGTAGTAGATCCGACCCTGTACCAAGGTGAAGGGCAGGGGGTATAAAGCTCCGATATACAGGAGCCCCAGAGGCGTATTTAGGGGTTATTAGTCATTTTTCTGGACGCGCGAGCCGGATAGATATATGGAGGAATCGCCAGGTGCGCGTCGGGTGTCCAATAAGCCAAGTTTTGTGATAAATCTCGCAGATATTGGTCCAGGGAAAGATATATTAAGTTAATATGTTTTAATTTTTTTTTTGTTTAGGGAAGTGACATATGAATTTATAACGTTATATTCAATTTAGATAGAAACTCTTTCCAATATATACAAAGAAGCCAAAATAATATACAAGAATAATGATATACCTATATAACATAACCCCAGAATTCCCAAATTTACTGGCAAAGAAGTACGACAGGGAGACACAAAAGAGAAAGCCGTTTGCCAATAGTCCTGAAGAACTACAAGCACAAATTAATGAAGCAAGTATAGCCAGCAATAAAGTAAGTCTCAAAATAAATTTAGCAAAAACTAAAGTAATGTACAACGGACTAGTAGACAGAATAGACATTCTAATAAATAACATAATACTCACGATAGTAGAAGAATATATTTAGGACAACTAATATACAGCTCAGGATCTCTACTACCAGAAATCAACAGAAGAATTAAGTTACCATGGAGTACTTATATGAAACTCGATCAAAATCAAATCTAGAATGCCACTTTATCTGAAGGAGAAAACATTCGATCAATGTCTACTCAACAATTTCTAAAAATCTAATCGTGTGGCTAAAATACTCCGTGTCGAATGAGGTGAATAACCCTGTATTTATATTTAAATAGGCGGATCTCTCATCTCTCATCAAGAGCTAAATCAGTGTTTAGCTGTTCAACTTTTTGTTTCAGTTGTTTGCAAAACCAACAATCGTACTCTTATCAGCAAATTTTCGGGTTCCCGAAACCATTCAACACGACCAACAACGAACGGGCTTACCATCCCTCCTCCCTTACCATAAGGAAGGCCACAACATAATTGGAAATGGTTGAATAAGCTGAGAATGATGATGATACAACTAGGAACTTAATTATACGACGACACATCCAAAGAAAAGAGCTAATTATGGAATAAATCTTATCTTTTTGGCGTAGTGCCTTCCTAGAATCACCCTGTAGTACAATAACCCTTAGGTCCCTTTCACCGTCCCTTACATTTGGACTCTTCTGGCTGAAATAAGGCGGAGTCGGGGTCGATTTGTCAACGGATCAAACCACGCCTTTCGCGTGTTGCGTAATCCGCATCAATTGCCATTTGCATCGCAGAAAGCTAAAGTGTGGAAGCGGCCTTAGCAATCGTAAATATCCGGATTGGTATCGTTTAAGGACAGTTTCCTAGTGATTTTCCTACGAAAAATGGCGAGTTCTGACTTCTAAATAGAGTTTTATTTTGATTTGAATTTTGACGTATTATGCTAATACGATGGTTCATTGAAATTCAGTTAGTAGATAAGTTTTTCTACTAACTGAAAATGTCTACCACTAATTTTGACGTTCTGAATACCTCCATCAAAACTAAAGGAACAAACTTCTACGCTAATTAAAACCAGGCACTAATTTATACCACTAATTGCGAGGTTCTGAATGAAACTTTAAGCTTCATTCAGTAAATGTTCACTAAAATTATCTGCTTTTTCACCTTCGCTTTGATTTAGCCATTCTAAACCTTTATTACTTGCGCACAGAAGTACAGCAGTAGCCAGTGGCGTAACAACAGATTCACGGGCCTGTGTGCAAAAATTTTACCGGGCCCCCTATTACACCTACATATTTCAATACTTATATACCAATCTGAATAATATGCACTCATCTTTTAGGTTAGAAATAACATTATCAAATTAATTTTATATAATATTATTTATTACTGCAACACAGAATATGTAACCCAAAACATATAAAATATCAAATAAAAAAAATAAATAAAAACAAAACAAAAAACAACAACAAAACACTAAATTAAAATAAACAATGTAAATAGGAACATGAACATGTTAAAATTCTTTTTTCCTTGCTTTATCATGGGCGAAAGTTTGGTTTGGTTTGGTTTGGACAATATTACCAATGTCTATTGTACGGGCAACTTCATTTTCTACCCCGCCTTGGTGCAGCCGGGACAGTGCTAACCCCAGTGCAGTTATGAAATTTACCACCAAACCAAACCAAACAAAACACTAAATTAAAATAAACAATGTAAATAGGAACATGAACATGTTAAAATTCTTTTTTCCTTGCTTTAGCATGGGCGAAAGTTGATACAATATTACCAATGTGTCTATTGTACGGGCAACTTCATTTTCTATTGAAATAATTGCCAAAGCTGATTACCGTTTTTCGCCCATAGTATTTCTTAAATTATTTTTGACAAGCTTTAATTTGGAAAAAGATCTTCAGCCGATGCCACAGAAACAGGTATGGTGAGAAAAATATGACACGCTGTTAAAATCTCGCTGAAACTAGAAGACGATGAAAGGTTTTTAATAAAAATAAATTCAGTGAGTTCAAAAATTCAATTGATTTCATATAAATTATTTCGGAAACATTGTCTGAAGGAGAGTAATTGAGAAGAAATCGTATAGGCAATATCATCGGGGTATTTAAGGTATAGAACCTGACCCATTTCATATATATCCTCATCAGAAACAGAAGGATTCTGCTTGATTCGCGATAGCATATGACAGATATGGAAATGCGGCCCGTGTGCTTCGCACACACTGCACATCGATAGTTACGCCACTGGCAGTAGCTCGTCTTGTGAAATTTGAACTGTGCCATAATTTTTCAACCAATAAGGAATTGGGAACTTCATTTTCGATATATCCATAGATTGCTGGAGTTTGGAATCTTGTCTAATCCCTGTATTATTTTATACCAAACCTTCTTCACATTCTTTCTTTGCGTTAAAGCACTTCCAGCTCTTTGCAAAGTTACCGATGTTGCTGATGTTGGATTCTGCTGCTTCTTCTAGTCTTTCCACAAAATCGTGCCCTAGAGTTTTAAAGCGTCTGTTTTCTAGTGCCAGACAGTAGCACAGCAAGTGCTCTATGTTTCTTCTTCCTCTTCGCATTCTCAACAGTGGTCGTCGTTGGAAATCTTCCATCTCACAAAGTTTACCCCCGTGGGGCAGTTTCCAGTGACGATTCTTTTTATGCTCTAGTAGTTGTTTTGTCTTTTTGATATCTACCACTAGGCACAGTCTTCGAGCTGTAGTACAGTCCTCACTGTGTTGCCACGTCTCTTGCTGCTTGGCCATGATGGTAGTTCCTGTGATGGATCATCTGCCACGTCCTCTCCTCTGGCCTCTTCTTTAGCGGGTTTGAACGCTTTCTGGTTGCCCACTTGCCCACCACATTGCTGTGGCCTGGCACCCAGCACAGAGTGACCCCGCCTTGGCGCAGCCAGGACAGTGCTTCTCAGCAGTCTATCACAGTTTTCGACTCCACTGATTGCATGGTGATGCATCTGAAAGCGTCCAAGCTGTCAGAGTATATCACGATTAATGGATTTTAATTATAGAACAGTTATGTCAGATTTCGACATAGTTTAATCTAGAAACATGTTTTACTTTTTATTAATCCAATTTTCTCACATTTTTACACTATTTTTTGCCCGAAAAAAAATACGTGATATTTACCAAACCCCCCTTTTTTCCTCGTAAGATTTAGTAAGATTCGTGGTAACCCCCTACCCCTTTAATTCCTTCAGATATTATGTCAAAATAAATTTCAATTAAATTATAAAATTCATTGTCTGCACTTGGCTGACAAAAACGTTAATTTTCTAACTCGATATCATTACTTCTCATCCAAAATTACCGGCAATATTTAAAATTGCATCTATCTTTATTTGTATTAAACATATATATATTCAGGATTTATGAGACCGCCAATTTCGATAAAAATGAAATAATGGTGGCCAGCAAAAAATATTCCCGTTTGATTTCAGCCAATTACTCTAGATTATTCTGATTAAAATGTCATTAATAACGGGAAAATTATCAATGTAAGAGATATATTGTATCCTATATACGTGATATATTGGCAAGCCTATTATTCAAATCGATACCAACAGCGTATGATCGGAAATAAACTTACTCGAGTGGGTTATTTAACATTATATAGACTTGTATAAAAGAAAGACTAAGAACTATATTGAGTTTTTTTGATCCAACATGTAGATTGGAGAAAAATGTAGAATCTATTGTCTCCCTCTTTCTTGGGTTATACCTTATCATACAGTCTCAGGGCCTTTACAAAAGCCAGTATCTGAGACGGTTATGTATAGGTTAGTTCTCCATCTCCGATATCAGTGGTACCAAAGTTCATGACATAAATGGTTGTTGCCTTACCGCACTCAGTGATAAAGTGTTGGTATTAGGTTATTTGGTTATTGGTTATTATTTGTCCCCATTTTCCCCACAGAATCTGCATTCTCCGTTTTTTCTTAGCTTCAATCTACTGAAGTGTCCATTGAGGAGACAGTGTCCTGTTAAAAACCCCGTGACAATCCGAAGATTGAACTTACTTAAATCAAAGAAAATTTTTGATTTTTCTCGGTTGTAAATTCATGGGTGTTAATAAAAATATATAATATATATTAAACGGTTTAAAACGATCTACATCTTCCGATGCCATCTCTCCATGCCTGTCTGTCTCTCCATGCACCGTCTCCCAGAGATCTTTCCTCCATAAACGTGTCAATCTCTTCCTGTCAACTTCTTGTCGATCTACCCGGTTTTCTTCTTCCTGCAGGTTTCCAGTCCATAATTAGCCTTGGGATTCTTATTTCTGCCATTCTGTGGACATGCCGGTACCATAATATGAGATGTCTGTTCTTTATCTCGTCCATTATTGTATGTTTAACTTTCATAATCTCTCTTATGCGTTCGTTAGTCACTCGTTCGAGTTTTGATTTGCCTGCTCGTCTTCTCCAAAAATCCATCTCTGTAGCCTCAAGCTTTTCGTTTTGTTGTTCCCTTAATTGGCCACACTTCACAGCTGTAAGTGGTTATACCCTTGATGATGGTATTATATAAGTATTAATATTTTGTTCTTGTTGTTTATACTTCTGTCCCACAGTATCCCATTTAATAGCGTGATAGCATTCCTTCCAAGTTGGTTTCGTTCTTTTATTGCTGTATCCAACAGTTCATCATTTGTGATTTGCATTCCCAAATATTTGTATTTTGCGTAGCGTTGCCTACTTTGGTATATTTTCTTTTAATCAAAATACTTTAGAAAACAAAAAGAAATTAATTATAAATATAAAACAGTTATTGTTTACATCAACAAAACTCCTTCTTAACAGCACTTAAGGGGCATAGAGGGCCATTACTATCGCTTTCCCATTTAAAATATTGTAATAAAGTTGCGATGAGTTTTTTAGGGCTATTAAACTATCTTGTGAACACCATAACTCCTCATGATTCACTTTCATATCTCTCTAAAGCAAATGAGAATTTACACAGTTTCTTCTTCACGCCCGTAGCATTATATATAGTTATATATTATTATTATATAGTATTAAAAATAAATTCTCATCTGGGACTGATGGGCTTACTCTCAAAATGTTCTCTGAACTTCCGGAATGCACATTAATCTATCTTACTACTTTAATTAATGAGTCGTTCCAAAAAGGAGCTTTTCCAAACTGCCTTAAGACAGCAATAATTATTCCTCTGCATAAAGGAGGAGATAAAGATCAAGCTTCGAACTATTGCTCTCCTGCCCACATTATCTAAGATCATTGAAAGATTGGTTAAAAAAAGGCTTCTATCTTTTCTCCTTAAATATAAAGTACTTGCTACCCATCAATTTGGATTTCTAAGTAACAGTTGCACAAATGATGCTATGTTCAACCTTTTTAAAAATGTATACTCTAGCCTGAATAACCATCACTCTACAGCTACAATTTTCTGTGATTTCTCTAAGGCTTTCGACTGTGTAAATCATAATATCTTAATTAACAAATTGCAATATTATGGATTCAGGGGAGTGCCGCTCGAATGGCTTAAGTCGTATCTTGGCAACAGAAGGCAGCTTGTGAGGATTGATACGTCTATGTCTTCTTGTAAGCCTATAGAATGTGGTGTCCCTCAGGGTTCAGTACTTGGCCCTATTTTATTTCTGGTGCTTATCAACGACATTGCAAATCTAGGCATTAGCGGTAAAATCTGCCTCTTTGCGGACGATACTAGTTTCACTTGGAGCGGCCCAGATGTTACGGCACTATATAATACCAAAGATAATACTATATCCAGTGACTTACGCACCATTAAATCTTGGTGCGATTCTAATCTCCTATGCCTCAACCTTTCAAAAACTAAAGTTTTGTCATATAAAAGTACTATACAACCTTTTGTACTTAATAACACCACTATTGACGTCGTGGACTCTGTGAGATTCTTAGGACTTGTTAAAATGGAACTTGCACATCGAAGCCTTATCAAAGAAACTAAGCTCTGCCTGTTTTGCGCTAAGATCTGTTTCTAAGGAACTTAACTCATCAACCTCTAGAATGGTTTATTATGCCCTTTTTGAATCGCATCTTCGTTATGCCCTTCCATTCTGGGGTACTTGCTGCGCGACAAAATTTGATCGTATTTTCAAACTTCAAAAGAGAGCAGTTCGATACTTATTGGGACTAAACAGTAGAACTCACTGCCAGAATTTCTTTAAAAATTTCAAAATACTGACTCTTCCTTCCTTATTCATTTTTGAATCCGTTTGCTTAATCCGCAAGCACATATTCTCTATTCCGGAAAGGCCTTCTCACAACTATCCACTTAGGAGCACGATATTTATCTGCCAACCCCGAGCTCAGAACTAGTTAAGGGCTCAATACTGTACAATGCCAAGAAAATGTACAATCATTTGCCTTCGAATATCAAGTCACTTTCATTCTTTCCCGCATTTCGCAAAGCTCTGAAATCATACTTACTGGAGAGAGCCCTATATGCGGTAAACGACTTTTTTGTTGATGTTTAATCATGAACAATTTAGAATTTTAATTTTAATATTTTGATCATCTCACACACTGGTTAAAGGTCTAGTATTTAATATTTTATAACTCTTGATTTTATGTTATTATAACATGATTTTATCCATTTACAGTTTTCCTTTTGTAAAATTTTCTAGATACGCCTGTGTTCTGCAATGTCCATATATGTTTTATTTGTAATTTTATGACGTAATTTTTTTATTGAATTGATTTGTATTGTATGACATTTTTTTTATTATTTGTGTATTTGTTTTTGTGCTTTTTTTTGTTTTGCTTTGTCGATGAAGCTGTTTTGGCTTTTTGACTGCAAGGTCTGTTATTAAACAAGTTTAAGCTTAAAGTATCACAACACTGTTTATTTAAACCAAAAACGCGTAATACAAAACTAAAATTCAAAACGAATGACAATGTCAGGAAATAAATAAATAAATGCGGCTACTAGACATTTTTACAGCAGAGCTACCACCTGAATCCCCAGCGAGAAATTTAAATTCCAGTTATTCAGCCCGGCGCCGAATATGTCCATGGTTGGCAACATTGAATTTAAAAATCGCGCCCTAGATTACTTAACTAAAAGTTTAATTGATATGAAATATACATTAGTATTACGTTATTTTCAGTGAAACCATAATATAAACGTCTTTAAAAAAGTATTCTCCGTTTTATTCAAAATCCTCTACAGCAAGGGCCGTGACGTGGGAAAAAATGACAGACCGGATCTTGAAAGATACGTTTTGTGTACGTATTTGCATTTGACGTATGGGGATAATACTCGTCATCCATATTGGGGATCTTGGGCAAATGAGGCGTTTCGAGAGAAGATCTATTCCCTTATATTCGACGTCATATTATGTCAAAGCTGTTTTGTTTTCGCTTTTTTTATGGGCTAGCAAATAATCTTAAAGAGAATATGGAAAAGATATTTTGAAAATAAAAATCCCATCAAAAATATACAATGTTAAAGAAGATTAAGTTTAGCAACGGAGTTCTTTCAGTGTAAAAAGTTGTAAGTTGTCATGCAATGTATAGTCTGTCCAACGAGAAGATCCTTGACAGTGATAGATGTAT